CTCCTGGCTGCGGCGTGTGCCTCCAAAAGAGCCCAAATAGGAAAGGGAAGAAAGGAAGCGCACAGCCAGGCCGCCTTGGCGCGCTCCGAAGGCGCGCCTCTCTCCAAGTTGCTGGCGAAGTGTGAGGGAAAGTGGCTGCCTCCTTCCTCTCTCTTGTCGCTCCCTCTTCCAGCCCTGGCTTAAGCAGACGGAGGAGGAGGCAGCGGGGAAGAGAGAGCCCAGCCCAGCCCCACTCCACCCCACCGTTCCCAGTTCCCAGCCTCCCCTCTCCAGGGAGCAGACGCCGGCTAACAAGGACCCTTCTGTTGGCTTTGTCCAACGAGGCGCTTTCTCTCCCCGGCTCCTGGCTGCCTCCCTCTTCCCAGGGACTTCATTCATTCAGGGGGGTGAAGGGGGTGCTCACCACTCCAGGTGACACCCTCAGAATTGGGGGGGTGACACCATTGCTCCCCAAACATCTGCCTTTGGGCTGTGGCCTTCGCCTGCCTCCCTTTAACACACTGAAGAGATTGAGGGAGAGGAGAAAGGAGAAGCCCCAGGCTGTCTCTTTTTGTCTTTGGTTTATTATTATTATTATTCTTCTTATTATTATTATTTTAAAAGTTGTTTTTATTGATTTTCAAGTCTTTATAAGGTAGTCGAACATTACAGTGCAAGGTAAGAACAAATAGAACAATAGCCATAGGGTGTGGCGTGATGTTATTCAGTCAGCATCCCTTGGCAGGATTCCCGGAATGGGATTCGCCTGGAGTCCCTTCGGTTGTAAAGTGTCCTTCCAAAGGTTGCTGCGAGAGTCCAGAGGTTGGAGGTGGTGTGAAGGTTCATTTGCAAATTCAATAAAGATGCCTCCAATGCCCATAAAACGTGTCCGGTTTTGAACGTCCGTTACAAAGTCTCATTGTAGTGGAAAGTTTTTCCATTAACCATAGGTTTCATACCCTTTCCCACCAACCTTCAATAGACAAATTCCCATGTTTTCAACATTTGACCACTTCAAGGCTCCCAGCCATGATTTAAAAAAAAAAAAAAGAAAGATCAGTTTTCTATACTTAAGGGTGGCATTTCTATCAATAAACACCAAGAGTAAAATCAGGGCTGGACAGAAGTACAAGTTTTGGTGTGTAATACATGAGATTTGGTGTAGAACTGGGCACCAAAATGCCTGTATCTTGGGGCATTCAACCCACATATGGATATAGGAGCCATGACAGCTTCAGTTTACAGTGATCCTACAGCCTTCTCTCATGGGCCAAAAGACACCCCCCCCCCAAGTCTGGCATTGTCATGGACAATGCACATCCTAAACCCCAGGTCTGGTGTGAGCAGTCTGGACAATGTCCACCATATTCTGCTTCAGAACCAGGGTATAACAGCCTTAAAGACATTTTTAAAACTTGCCTGCTATTTTGGATCTTCTGCAAAGATCTAGAGTGCTCTGTTCCCATGCTGCTGCAGCTGTCTGCACAACTGTCCTGTTGAGCCACCCTTTACATCTGCCATCACCACAGGTTGCTTGTTCTGAGGTTAGAACGAGGCACCCTGGCATGTGATCATTGCTTGGTGCCTTGTTCTGACCTCAAAAGCGAGCAACCCACAGCAATGGCAGACAGCCGCTATGACTCAGGAACAGAGGGCCAGGTAACCAAGAGGGTGGAGAAATCAGAGTAGCTGTAGGGCAGGATACTCCAGGCTAACCCCCGGAATATTCTGGCTCATGCAGACAAGATCCATGAGTGAGAGACCTCCATGAGCACCAGTCATCAACTGCCCTGTTCTGGTATTACAAACTGAGGTCTGTGACTTGTATGATTTAACTAA